ACTACAATGAGTATAGTAAATCTACTACAATGAGTATAGTAAATCTACTACAATGAGTGTGGTAAATGTATTTCAATTGGTCGAGTAAATCTACTACAATGGTGTAGTAAATCTACTACTATGGTGTAGTAAATCTACTACAATGAGTATAGTAAATCTACTACAATGAGTATAGTAAATCTACTACAATGAGTGTGGTAAATGTATTTCGATTGGTCGAGTAAATCTACTACAATGGTGTAGTAATTCTACTACAATGCTGTAGTAAATCTACTACAATGAGTATAGTAAATCTACTACAATGAGTGTGGTAAATGTATTTCAATAGGTCTAGTAAATCTACTACAATTAAGGTGACCATACCTCCCGGATTGGTCGGTACAGTCCCGGATTTCCACCTTGTGTCTCCGGTTATTTCAATAGCATGATTTATACCGGATTTAGATTTTTTGCCCCGGTTTTTTCAAAAATTGACAGATGAATTAACAAGTAACATTAAAAAGTATGAAAACAAACGAACAAGTGCTAATTTTTTCCAAATATTTATGAATAAAATTGAATAGAATATTTTACAAGGCTCAAAAGCGCGAAATACATATAGATCCATATAAGATATAACATCACAGACAGGGCCGGAATTAGAAATTTGGCGCCCTGGGGCACTGACAAAAATGCACTTTCAGCTCGTTTACGAAACTTTATATTAGCCAAATTGCCAAATTTGATAATAACTTGTTAACAAATTTGATAATTTATGTTCGGAGAGGGAGTCAAAGAAAAATAGTAAATTTTAATAATCGTCTATTTGAATCCAAATTTTGCATTGCATTCGTAGTATGTTTTATATAAATTAACAAAAGTTAACTATATTTCTTGAAATAAAAAACGTTATTAAAAAAAATTAGTTGATTACATTTTTCCCACTATCCAAATTTTGCCGCCCCTGAAAATCTGCCGCCCTGGGCAGTAGCCCCGACTGCCCCTACTGTAAATCCAGCACTGCCCATAGCTTTCCTATATATGTATATACGAGCAAGCTACAGGTTGCTTTAGGATTTTATTAGAATCTTCTTCAGAATGTATTTATAGTATCGCCTACACAGCGCAAATGTCATTTGTCATTCAGATTGGCTCATTTAATAAAAATAAATTCAATCAATTCAATAAAGTTTTGGTTATGCAAAGAATTTCGTATTAAAATGAAACTTTTTCAACTTCATTATAATTTGAAAATTCTGATAACGTTACAATGCAAATGACAGTTATTGAAGTGTTCATTAATAATTTTAAATCATTGGCAGATCATTCTCAACATTCTGTACATATATATCTTATTTTCTTATATTTTAGCAAGATTGTTCATTGCTGATGCAGTAATGTTAAATTGTAGTATGATTTTTTAAATTTTATTTGATTTACGTTATTATATAAAGAGATCAAGTAATTTGTAATAGGTAATTTTTTAAATATTTTAACTACCCTCAGGGTAAGTTATGATAATCGCAAAAAAATCGAAAAAGAAAAGTTTTGCATATCTTTACATTTCAAGGGTTTCTGAACATTTTGGCTTATCTCAGAAAATGGGTGTGTGTATGTTTGGATATAATTTTTCGTCCACAATTTCGGCGGCACAAATCAACCGATGTGAATGATTTAAAACACATTCGATTTTTATTGATGGGAAGATGCGCTGATTAGTTTTTGGCGAAGAAGTGTCCAGCAGTTTCGAAGATACGGGACAAAAAGTGTCAAAAACGGTAATTCAGTTTTTGAAAGAATGGAGCGCCCGATTTGAATGATTCAAAAAACATTTTGCTTATATTGACAAAATAAAATTTTGATTACATTTTTGCAGATACAGGTCTAACAGTCTCGGCGATACACAGGAAAAAGTAAAAAAAAATACAATTCTGCGGTAAAAAATGATCATTGGACTAGATCGTCGCTATATAATATGAGCGATACAATATATAGTATTATCACTTTGAAAATGTAACACGTTGCCGCAAATACATATTACTAATTATTAATAATTAATAATTAATAATCTAATAATAGTTAATCATTTTCGCTTCCAAACATACAACTTACCCTCGATTTTATCTGGCAATCATAAACAATTAAAAAAAGTGTGTTTCTAAGCACGATCGTCAAATTAAAAGTGTGCGGCAACGTGTTAAAACAATTGTTATTAATCGTAAATTAATATTTATTGATTACTGTTTTTTTTCTTGAATATTTATTTCTGGTACGGGAGGTTTCAACAATTTGCCTTAAGGCACGATGCCATACGTCACTAGTTTTATGTTTTAAATTGTGAATTTACAACTTGCTTACGAAAAAAAAGCTTAATATAATGTCGATAATGCATGGCAACCAACTACAGCAGCACAAATTTCCCATTGTTTCTTGAATAAATTGCAACAAAAATTTATTTAAAGTAGATCTTTTAATATGATATAATAATTAATAAATCGCAGATCATGTCATAAGAAATAAATTTTAAATTTTCGTGCACTGCTTAATCTACGAGTTGAAAACCATTTGGCGCCAATGTATTTGTAATCATTTTCTAAATTCGATCTGATTCCCAGATATCTACAAAATTTAAAACACTTAGAAGAAAAATCTCAACTCACGATTGGCCTAAATCTCCTCTCCTGCATAACTTTGGGTAAACATAATAATTTAAACGAAAATGAGTAATATATTTGAATGTATGAGTATGGTGCTCATTGATATGGTGTTTGCACGTATTTATTCCATCTAATAAAATAGAAAGATTTAATAATACAATGCAAAATTCAATTGAATCTCCTCAATATATTGAACTTATTGTACGAGATGCAAACATCCGAAAAATGATGCATTTTATTTATTATTTTTAAAGTATTTTTATTAATATACACACGATTTCAAAGAAAAGCTATTTTAAAAGGTCATGTGAAATAGATATTATAGAAATGAGTACTAATAGATAATGTCAATTATAAATATTATAGATGACATTCTAGTCAGAATTGAAAGTATTCAAAAATTTCGATGCCCTATTGAACCCCGCGTATAAACATTTTTATTGAGACTTCATAATAATTTTTTATCATTAAATATGGAATAAATTATTAAATGAATTAAGTAAACAATTGAAAAAAAGAATGTCGTAATAACATATGTAACATATGTAATTTTAATTGAATTTATTATAACATTTTAAAATAAAATAGTTATGAAGTTGTGTAGTGGTTTTTAAAACAATTGTTCTAAATGTCACAATTTATCTAAAATTAGAACACTTTCAAAATTTTATGTTACCAATTTATTCTAAAAATATTCACTACTACAAATTAAGAAATATTTCATGCGAATAACACAGATGCTTTCCTTGTAATTACATATAGTAAAATAATAATGGCGTTTAAAACTTTTAGTTTTAGTTTAGTAGTATACAAAATACTGTAATTAGCTCAATTCTACTATTAGACAGACCAAGAAATATTATTGTATTGTAATTCATGATTGCTACTTTACCCATATTTACGAATAGACTAGATGCTATAAATCATGTTCATTAGTTTTTGGCAAAGACAGGTCCAGCCATTTTTGAGATATGGAGCAAAAATGCATAGGTAAAAGTTCCCTGACGCCGGACGGCCCAAACATCGGACACTCTGTTTAATACGTATTATTTAAGCGAGTATAAATCTTTTCATTTCAAAATACAAGTGCAAGGGGCATGGAGGGCACACAGGTACATGATCACGTGCCAAGCCTTGCCTGTGACGCACACGGCCACGGCGAGAGCAACCTTTTCCTGTTTTAGGCGCAAAATCACGGCGTTACCTATATATCAATGGAAGTAATTCTAGCATATTTATGCATTTACATTGAGTGGTATGGAAAGATAAAAGTTGTACTTGACTTGACCCTTAGTGCCGGACAGTAAACATATTGAAATTTTTTGTGAGAATTTACGTAATTTATTCCAATTATTAAATTTTGTTCTGCCTGAGTGCTAACGGTCATAACATACCCCCATACTTCGTATTTCCTAGTCAAAGAATGAAAATCTTATGATGAATGCTCCAGCTGAAAGCATCGGTGTGGGCCAGACAAAAGGGTAGATGAATAGTAATTTTTTTTTTGCAATATCTAAGAATCTTCGTCAAACACACATGTGCAGACACTCCAGAGTGTAGAGATAGCTGTTTATGTGTTCAATACTGGTTATTTTGAAATGCCCGGTACTAGGAGCCACTTTGTAAAATCAAATTTTTTGTTACCAAAGTTTGATTAATAGTATCAATTATTTTTTAGCAAAGGTTGCGTTTTTGTTGATTTGGTTTGATTTCTAACTTTGTTATCTAACATAAGTCATAATTTAATGAACATTTCGTAAAATATTTTTTGATTTATTTATGAATAACCTTATAGGTGTCCGCCACTCGGAGACTTCCACCTAAATATCAGTTTTAGAGAGAACGGAATATTTAATTAGAATGATTCAAAAATCATATTGCTGATGTTAACAGTGCGAAAAAATGATTACTTTTTGAAAAGCAGGAATTCGGCGGTTTCAAAGTTTCTAACAAATCTATTTTTTTGTTTTTTTTTTTAATTTTTGATGTTTTTTAAAATTTTCTTTAAACTTCAAAATTTTGTAAGGTCTAAAGTTCTACATACAGTTAAAATAAATAAATTTAATTTCACAATTCAATTGCAAAATAGTAAACACATACAGTTTGTCATCCAAATATGAGACTTATATTACATTTGAACTTTAAAATACAAACTATACAATTTATAGTAGTTATGATATATATTTGAACACAACAAAAGAATTGTTATTAATCATTGATCAATTTTGATTGGTTACTGATTATTTTTATTCTTTGAATATTCCGGAAATAAACGAAATTTATCATAATGCACAATGCCATGAACCACTAGTAAATAATATAATCATAGAGCAAATGAAATATATAATATCGACGTTAACTTACTACGATGTGTTTTGTCCGCTGGGTCTCGCCTTAAGACAACTCTCCGTTTGGCGGCTGCCGCAACCGGAATTGTCGGCCCCGAATCAACGTCATGGATCACAATCTTGATAGCTTCACCATCAACGGACGCTTGCCGTCGAGGGGCTTCCATGTCTTCCAGCGCAGACGCCGACCATGGCGTAGGCGGCGGCAAAGCACCGCGATCTCGCAACGCAGCAATGTCAGGCCTGCAAATATTAAAATACATGAAAAACGATCCACTTCAAACGCTTTGAATTCTGACCAAATTAAATATAGAGTAGAGCGGAGCACAAGATCCATTTTTCAACTTCCCGTAGTAAGTTATAGTAATGGGCCAAAAATCAAAAATATTTTTTTTTTCACGTTTTAGAGGTTTCTGAATGATTTGGCATATCTGAGAAAAAATGGATGCGTGTCAACGATTTCGGGCGTATGGATGAACCGATTTGAAAAATTAAAAAGCAAACGATTCCTATTGATAAGGAGATGTGCTGATTAGTTTTTGATAAAGGCCATACCGAAATAGCGATGCAACAAGTTCCAAAAATGTTAATATTTGAGAGAACCAAGCATTCGATTCGAATGATTTAAAAAACTTTCTGCTTGTGTTGACAAAACTATTGCTTTTCGGAAAAGAATTTTATATATTTATGTCATTTTTTTAGAATTTCTTTTTTCTGAATATCGAAAATAAATCGTATTTTAGTTCTAATTCTAGCTAAAATTTTAAACTTCACTTACATACATCAAATAAATAGTTTTAACTTTGCAATTTATTAAATTCAATTTACATAATTCTTAAATATTAGGCAATGTCCTTTATTTTAAATCCGATTGATCGAGCTTTGTTTATTTACTTTTTATACAAACAATTATGAACGTCGTCGTCCAATTCATAAGCTCTTATATTTTGTCTATAAAATAAGAATAATAAAAGTTACAGTATTTATAATAATCTATTTGAAAAAATTTAATATTTCTCAAACGTTTCGTTATGGTACGGGAAATTCCTGCAACCCGAGTGAAAATCTGTTAGGGCAAGCTGTAACGCAGGTCCGGCCCCTATGGGGATGTACTCCGGCGCCCGTATTACGGAATTTAGTGCCTGGCCCTGATAGGGGCCATAAAAGGATTGCCTTAATATGGAATTTGTATAGGGTAATCAGGCATGCCTGAATTTAGCCCTAACACGGATTGCCCTATAATAATTGAAACGGGCCATATGCAGGTGACTTATATTACCCCTATAACGTATTGACCGTGATATGATGATATGGGCCGTATTGCGAGTTCATTACTAGAACTCTAATACGGATTACCCAATATTGAGACCGGTCGTATTTACGTATTAAGATTTATTAAATTTTTGTAAAAATAGTTGTAGATTGTAAACAATAATACACACTTATTTGAGTCAATTATAGATTTACAAAACAACTAAGCAAAAGAAAAGAAGAGCAATTTAAAGTTAATACAAGTTTGCAATATTCAATACAAGTTTAAATTCAATTCAATCAATTTATTTTTTTGTTTAGCTTATTTATTTATTTATTAACTTCCCGTAGGGTAAGTTATTGTAAAGGGCCGAAAATCGAAATTGGAAAATTTTCACATTTCTCGACGTTTTGATTTTGGCATACCTCAGAAAAAATGGATGTGTGTGTGTGTGAGTGTGTTTGTATGTATGGATACAAATTTTCAGTCAGGTTTTCGGGCGCACGGATCAACCGATTTGAGTTCAAAAAACATTCAATTCCTATTGATAGGGAGATGAGCATTGTTTGTGGCCGGCTTTATTTTCAAAGTACCATAAACGGCCAAGAGAAAAACAGCTATGTTTAAAAATCCATAACAAAAGTATATTTTTGCGTTTCATTTGTTTTGATTGCGCAGTTACTCAGTTCTCCAGACCTTAATTTAATTTTTAAATATACGTCTTATAAGATGTATTGTTAATTTTAAGAGTAAATAGTTTCTTATATAACCTCTATAAAAGCTTACACCTGGATAGGGTAAAAAAGTCAAACTAAACTTCATTCTGGCAAAGGTGTAAAAAATAAAAAACTGCAAATAAAAATTAAATTAAGTTTAAATAAGCTATTTTACAAGAGAAAAAAGTTATTCCAACTCTGTCGATGAATATTTCTGATAAAATATCAAGTTAAAGTTAATTATAGTTTTATCTCAGCACCCATGAAATTTAAATTTTGCATTAATTGAATAATGCAGCTATTACTTTGTGAAAACGCTTCAAAATTAAAAACAAGACATTGGACCGGTTTGTCTCCTGATCGACCTAATATCCACCGCCTATAAAGCAAATTGAACCTGGTTACAAATTTGTGAAAAACAGCTAAAAACAACATTTTTGGAATTGGAATTATCTGGGATTTTTATTGAATGTATTCAGATAGTTATTTGTTTGATATGTGTTATTTTGGTGATTTGATTGGTTTCGTTTACACAATACATTTGCTCAAAATCAAATTGGACCTTTGTTTCCCGCCCTACCCTATCTACACGATAACATAAAACGTGAGAGTACATAACTAATTATAATACATGTACTAATTGTTTTTCATTTACTACATGTAGTAAAAGTTTGAAGTTTTTAAAAATGTTTTATATTGACAAATAATACAAGTAAAATAAACTAATATTTCAAATCAAATATTAATTATGAACACAGGAAAGCGACTGAAGCAAAACAACCACTCTCGGATACGTAACATCTAAACCGGATACCATCATGCACGGACGCTCAATCAATTAATTGGCATCCGATTTAGACATTCTAAGTACTACCAAAAAATATCGATGTTTCATGATGAAAAAAGTGCAAATATTATAAATAAGTGTTAGTTCTAATATTTTCTGCAGAACAATCTGAAGACTACATTCCATATGATATTACTCAACACATCGAGATTACGTAAACTATTATTAGTTTAAATGAAAATAAAATAAATAAATACACGGCATAAAATAACATTCTAATACTTATAGTGAATATATTAGTGATCATTAATTAATCAATCTTGAAAACAAACATAATGTTGTTTTTATTTTCGCATAGGTAAAAATAGTAAAACAGATATTTCTTGAATATTTTATTTTCAATTTGTTTATGTGGACTATATAACTGTTTTAAAGTAACAAATTTGTATGTTGTTTATAATTCTAGTACAATATATATAAAAATATGTAATCCAATTCATATATATATATATATATATATATATATATATATATATATATATATATATACATTATTTAGCTAGAGCAAAACCTAGCCGATTACGTCCCATATCAAATGTTGTATAAAATTTGCCAATAAAAATATCACCGAGAATCCATAAGAGCCCATTTTCAAAAGGTAAGTCTACACCCATAAATCCTGACAAACAAATCACTTTTTGATTGCGAATTTCTCGTATAATATAATCAGTTTTTTCTAATTTGAAACTTTTTCCATTTAAAATGAATTCAATTACTGGTAATTTTGTCATATTGCGACAATCGATCATATATTCACCTCCCATTATTGGGGTAGCACCTATAAAGTTATTTAATAATTGCATGTCTTCCTTAGGTCCAACAAAAAGTCTCGTGCCAGTATCTGCAATGGCCTCACATCCACCAACACAAAATGACTGATTTCCAACTTTAATCAAATCCATTTTAAATTGCCAAAAATCTGTTTTGGTCACAGGCAAATATGTAAATTCGCCACTGTAATGGTCTGGATCAGATCCACCCAGTAAAATTTCGCCGGCAATTGAAGCGGTAGGATCGCGGTTGAGATAAAAAGAAAAAACCGGGTTTTCAATCAATCCTTGTTGAAACATATTATAAAACACTGGAACTACACCATCGGTAGAAAGTGAACTGTATCCCAATCCGAGGATACCGTCAAATTTTGCGGTAACAAAAGCTAATCCTGGTTCAACCGTAGCTTCAGTAAACGTTTGATTTACAATATCTAATCCACCTATATTCACTGTGTCAGTAGATAAAAATCCAGTAACACTTCCAGATTCATATTCAATTGCACAATTGGTACCGTTTTTAATGTATGTGGAAGATTTTGAGCTGTCATATTTATTATGCACTAAACAAGCGACATTTGCGACTTGGCACTGTTGGGACGGAATCCATAGGTCTGACGATCCTGTGTCAAAATTAACATTGAATGCTTGCGGAGGATTACCAATGGTAATTCGTCCATAATACTGAGCATCTAGGTAATTTGATAATGGCTCAGGAATACTTTCAGGATCATACCTAAATGGTAACTGCTCTATTTTCTTTCCAAGTTCTTGCAATTGGGTACGAACACTTTTAACTTTATGTAATTGTACTCGTATGATATTTCCATAACATGATGCTATTAAAGATATTATGATAAACTGGTATAACATTTTGGAATATTTATAGCACAATACAGTCACAGCTTTGTTTCGTTATTACCATTTAGTAAATTTTCAATTTGACATCTCGTAATTTCCAATGACATTTTATATTTAGAAACTGATATATTCTTGCTTGCAATGTGTACAAAGTGATAAACGTCGACGTGACCCCAACATGGAAAACAAATATGTTTATAAAGCGATAAAATATATAATAGATAAAACTGAATTAAAAACAATGCATACTTTGTAAAAAAAACAACAAACAACCTATGAAATCACACCAACTAGATGCAAAAATATTGAGAGCAGAAAAAATCGACAGATTAGTTTCATGTACTATAATTTATGTTAGAAATGAAATTAAGATGAAATTTATCTAGTTGTAAGGAGCCTTATGCCTTAGGGCAAGTAGCATAAACTTGGTGTTATGAGTAAATAATCGACTTCATGAATAAGTATTGACATTTAACTATTTAGAAAAAAAAAGAAATGTTTATTAAGGCCATGAAATCTCTATCACCATAAAATGTTTCAATAAAATAGCCAAGAAAGTATATAACAATTATATATATATATATATATATAATATATATATATATATTATAGGTCATATATAAATTATCACATTATGTGACATAAAGTCACGTAATACAATACTAATACTATTTTTCTCTTTAAAGCTTATTAGATATATACTCTTTGCATAGCTGTGACCAGAAGGGCTATTCTCAAATAAAAATACATATATTTTATACATATTTTATATTTTTTATATATTTTTATATATATTTTATTTTGTTTACATTTCAGTTTTGTTCTGGCGATCAGGAGTAAATTAATATCACTTCGTTTCCAAATATTTATATTTATTAACTTTTCGTAGGGTAAGTTATTTTAACCGTCCAAAAATCGAAATTGAAATTTTTTACATTTCTTCACATTTTGAAGGTTTCTGAACATTTTGGCATACCTCAGGAAAAATGGAAGTGTGTGTGTATGTATGTATGTATGGATATTTGAATGGTGCAAAAAACATTCGATTCCTATTAATAGGAAGATGCGCTGAATAGTTTTTGGAAAAGACAGGTCCAGCCGTTTCGGAGTTACGAAGCAAAGAGTGCAGAAAATAGATTTTTTTTGTATATCGAAAATAATTCAGATCTTAAACGTAATTCTGATTTAGGTTCTAATATAATTTAAACAAATAATTTTAAATTTGCAATTCAGTTTATATAATTCTTATAAATATTAGACAATGTTACAATATTTATAATAATCTATTTGAAAACATTCAGTATTCCTCGAACATTTCGTTACGGTACGGAAAGTTCCAGCAATTTGCCTTAAGGCACCATGCCATACACCCCACTAGTTTATTGTTGTATTTATTTAGTTTTAATATTCACTTATTGAAATATACCTAGAACCTAGGTTTAATTTAGAAAATGAATTATACCGCATATTAAATGTGCATATAACTTAAACTTATATGTGCATAATTCAATTATCATCGTGGTTTTTGTTCGTTGTCTTTCCATTATCATTATAATCATAGTTTATCACTGTCTAGTGAACAGACAGAATCATTGAGAGAATCTTATCAGACTCTTATAATGTAATAGCTTTTCGCCCATATCGGTTGTTTAGCATTGACTACGAAGTTTGAGTCGTTTATTATTATTGACAAGCCAGACATTTTTATTATTCATCATAATAATGAAAGCAAAATAGAACTGCTAAAAGCTTTTATACAATTCATTGAATACATAACACCCGGCATATATCTGGATTGGCAAAGAATCCATTATAGTTCCAATTACTTTCAAAATTCTGTTTATCTTCGAGCAAAATAAAATATGAACTTTCGTAAGTAAAAAAAAGAATACCGAATTATAAGTCTCTGGAAAAGTTAACTTATATGTCATATCATCAATATATGTTTTGAATTGAATATACAATTTATTGATACTTTCATACATGATAAGACAGTACTTGGTCGAATTACACGAATTCAAAAAAAAAAAACTAGTGGGGTATATGGCATCGTGCCTTAAGGCAAATTGTCGAACCGTAACGAAATGTTCGAGAAATATTGAATGTTTTCAGATAGATTATTATAAATATTGTAACATTGTCTAATATTTATAAGAATTATATAAACTGTATTGCAAAGTTGAAATTATTTGTCTAAAATATATTACAACTTTAATCAGAACTAAAAATAAAATTTGAATTATTTTCGCAAAAAAAAATTAAGAAAAAAAATGTTGAAAAAAAATTGCAACAAAATTTTTTTTTTCCAAAATTAATTATTTTGTTAAAACAAGCAGAAAGTTATTTGAATCATTTAAATCGGACGCTTAGTTCCCTAAAAAACTGCCATTTTTGCGCATTTAGCTCTGTATCTTCGAAATGGCTGGGCCTGCCTTTGCCAAAAAATAATAACCACTTCTCCCAATCATTACTAATCTTTTTCAGATCCTTCAAATCGTATGCTCCGTTCTCTCAAAAACTCGATTTCTATTTTCTGCACTCTTTGCTCTTTATCTCCGTAACTGCTGGACCTGCTTTTACCAAAAACTAATCAGCACATCTCCCTATCAAAAGGAATCGATTTTTTTTTGAACCATTGAAATCGGTTGATCCGTGCGCCCGAAATCGTGACCGAAAAATTGTATTCATCCATACACACATCCATTTTTCTGAGGTATGCTAAAGTGTTCATAAACCTTTAAAACATCGAGAAATGCAAAAATTTTCAATTTCGAATTTTGGACGATTACAATATCTTACCCTACGGGAAGTTATAAAAGATACATAGAATGTTTTGAAAATTCATAACACAGCAAATACAGTTGTTCGCCCAAGTTCTGGAAAAAGACAAATAGCGCGATTTAAATATGTAATTCAAACAAAATTCGATTCGTACTGACGGTGTAAAAAGCTGATTAGTTTCTTCGGGTAATCTAATTACATCGTAATATTTGAACGTATGGGTTGAAGTAGGAGAGCTAGGCGCTTAATGTAAGAAAGGTAAGATCTCAAACGATATTAAAATATTTTTCTGCCTCGTTTGGACATGTACAACGTCCTGTCTAGCCAATAAACTGTCACGCACAAACACTATTTTTGTCATAGCCACTGTCCCGCGGGCCAACGCAAAATACAGAACTATGCAAGTCCGTCATTTTTGACAGGTAATATAAAAATGTGTTATCTAGAAATATACTTTTGTACTATTTTTATCGACTAATTTCAAATTTTATATATCTGAATGAATTAATAACTAATTAATTAAATAATATTAAATAATAATTAATCTGAATAACACCAAATTTCGTAATCTTTGATAATGCGCAACAATTTTTGTTTGCTTTTATTTCCTGGACTACAAAAATTACAAATTAAATCAAGTTGTAAACTCTGAGTTGCTCCAATCTACAAGTAATTCATTTTCCATCAAAGATTAGACCACATTGGTTTTAATGGGCAAAGGCTGTATTAAGAAAAACGACAGATGGATACTCCTGCAAAAGAACTTACAAAGTTTTTAGAGAAATATGGAAAAAACGATAAAAAACAAATATAAATAAGTAAATGAAAAGCGAAGGGAAAAGCCAAAAATAAATCAACAAAATTAAACTGAAGTAAACAGAACTAATAAATTCGGCAACTGAATCCGAAGAGTGGTATTTTCTAACTTCTGGTAAATATTACACACAAACGAAGTAGATTGGCCAGAGTATATCATGTATGATGTGTTACATGAAAAATGTGATACAGCTATTTTTAGCAAGGTTTCATTTTTGTTAAAAATGAAAAATGAACAAAAAAAAATGATAAGTGGTATTATTGTGGTTTTTTGTCGTTACTATTTGCTTCAGCAGATGTTACAACTAACTTCGAACAGAAGGTAAGACACTTTTTCTAGCAAATGATTAATTGTAAAATAATAAGCATTAGTTGTGGAGAACTGTTGTAGAGGAATAGTTGCAGCCCATCTTTAATTTGTATGAATATAATCAGTTCTTCCCAAGATATAATGATTTAGAGAAAACAAGCTCCTAACTACCCTACTAATACACAAAATTATAACAAATGTATTCTGAGTGGATAATATATATTAATTTGGAAATATGAATCTCATCATCAGTGTGTTATAATTTAAAATTTAAAATATGGAAACCCAAATTAGCATTATCTGTTATTCATTACAAGTCGTTCGATATACTGTCTTCTGCCACACCAACGATTGTCGAAGTCCGAATTCTATAACCACTTGAAAACCACTTGAAATTGAATAGTCACGCGATCAGATAGGAAAGGAAGGATTAGGGTCCAGTTCAACTTAGGTTTCCATATTTTAAATTTTAAATTATAACGCACTGATGAAACCTAGTCTCGAAACGTTTGAGAAAATTATTATTTAATAAATTAGTGCATAAAAGCGTGTTATTTGTTCATATTTCCAAATTAACAAAATTATAAGTTTATAATTAGATTATAGTTCCAGCACAAAATTCATAAAAAATATATTACTTAATTCCTGATAATTTCTATAGCATTAAAAATAATATCTAGGTAATACAATGAAATATTCATAAACATACAGTTGACTGCCCCTCCTCCGTGTGCGTCTGTCTTCATCAACAAATAATGAGGGCGCCATGCCTCCATCGGGACTTGGCGAAGAATCTTTCTGAGGACCGGGCGTATCGTCGGGAGCTACCCGGAAAGAAGCTCGTCGTGGGCCGACAGGTGAGGGGCCCCTTTCTTCAGGTGCGGCTGCACGCTGAGCTGTCTGCATAACTCCCGGTGCATACACATCATAAGCGGATGCTCTGTAAGCATAAAAATAATAAAAATATAGCATATAGTTTTCGTCTTCAATTAAATCTAACTATATGATTTCTAATTAAAATATAAAAGCATTTAAATTACTTGTAATTATATTAATTACAGTGCATGTATTTTCTGAATTTGTAGCTTATTATTCCAAATTTTATTTAATTTATATAATTCAACCAATTTTTGTAGAATTGTTTAGTGCACAAACTTTATGGCCATGTTAAATTTTATGAAAAAAATTTAAATATCAAGCTTCTGCTATAAGGAAGTTCTGACACGATTACATATATAATTTGTAATTTGCATTTCAAATAAATGGTAACTTTTTTACACAACTAGAAGTATTGTAGACTGCACACTTACTATTTAGCTAATTCCAAAGCCATTTCTAATGTCTTGGCCGGTCTTTTCGAAAACCTAATCGCGGCCAATGGTTATAATAACGTTTTTAAATTTGTGAAATTTTGACTTATCGCATCACAAAACTCTTGACATAAGTTTTCACGATCATCATATTTTTTCAAACTTGCATCAAAATTTTAAAATTAAATGGCTGATTAAAGAGCCGTAATATTTTATTATGATCTATAGGTCCATGATACTTATGGTCAAAAAAAGTTTCATAACTAGTGATGTATGGCATCGTGCCTTAAGGAAAATTGCTGGAACTTCGAGTTTTTCGAGGTTACTATATACCTTTGAGGTTATTACTAAAATTAGAAATATTTTTACAAAAGACATATTACAGTTGCCAGCAAAATAGCCAAAACAAACAAGCAGTCAATAATGAACAGGGCCACAGATCATGACAAATCAGATGTTTCGCAAACAAATTATTTCACAACCCAATCACAAAATATGGCAAGCGCTCGCGCATGATCTGACATCATGTGATATTTTTCTACTGGTCATCTTGTAAAAAATATGCATACTAACTGTCCTCAAACCAACTATGTCTCAAAAGAAGCAATCAGAGCAGAAATTGCAAAGAAACCCTCATAGAACACATAGCCTCCTCTGTATCAAAAACAAAATATTCTTTTTTACAAATTAACTTTATTATATTGTAAACATTTAGCAATACACAAACTTTTGGTTATGGTCATCATTTGATATTTCGTTGTAGTATGTAGTTTTTTTAAATACATCCATTGTTTCTGCAGGACCATGTATTTACACTTATGTCTACAAAAAATATTTGTTGATAAGCTAAGAGATATTTCATCTTTTCTTCTATATGCTTCTTTTTAAACAAATGTGGTTTGAGTTTTTGGAACAAATCATCATTTTTTCGTAAAACCATAGTGATTTCATTTCGTTTTCTCTTTTTAACATTTATCACTTGTACCGACATTTTCAGCGCTTTTGTTTGAATCAAAAATTTAGATACACGTAACTTTGAATAATATTATATTATATGCCATGAATATGGATAAAAAGACTATTAGGCACTAAAAATTGCTTTATACTGGGTACGACGAGCGCCACGACGCATGGAGGCATATATAAAGTGAAAAGGCAGGTGCGAGAAAAACCTACCACCTTAGAAGCTGACAACAAGGGTTCCAACTATTTGAGAAGTAACTAAAAAATCCAAGTAACATAAATATAAACTGACCAATACAAATATGTCGTAAAAAGTGAAGAATATCATTGCATCTATTACTATCTGATTGACAATAGATTGAAAGCCTTAAATATTGATTAAATATGAAAGTGATGAAAGTCAATTTACATGCGAGAAAAGTCAGATATATAAGTCTGTTGCGCCTGTTAATGTAGTAAATACTAAGAAGAACTAGTGGTCTGTGGCATCGTGTCTTAAGGCAAATTGCTGGAACTTCCAGTACCAAAAGTTTGAGAGTTGAAAAATGTAAACTAGTGGAGTGCATGGCATCGTGCCTTAAGGCATATTGCTGGAACTTCCCGTACCGCAATTAAAAATCTTGGTATGGAACCCAAAAAATTTTATACAAAATGTGTACACATTATTGAAATTTCTATAAAATATCTGATAATATGATGTACATATGTCCAATAAACATTTTTGACCGCCAAACGACATTTTTTTAACTTCCCGTAGGGTAAGTTATTGTAATGGGCCGAAAATCGAAATTGAAAATTTTTACATTTTTCGACGATTTGAAGGTTTCTGAACATTTTGGCATACCTCAGAAAAAATGGATGTGTGTGTGTGTGTATGTATGTATGGATACAAATTTCCAGTCACGTTTTCGGGCGCACGGATCAAACGATTTGAATGGTTCAAAAAACATTCGATTCCTATTGATAGGGAAAAGAGCTGATTAGTTTTTGGCGAAGCCAGTCTAGCCGTTTCGGAGATACGGAGCAAAGAGTGCAGGAAATAGAAATCGACTTTTTGAGAGAACGGAGTATCCGATTTGAATGATCTAAAAAACATTCAATTAGTAATGATTGGGAGAAGCGTCTATTACGTTTTGGCAAAGGCAGGCCCAGCCATTTCGAAGACACGGAGCTAAATATGTAAGAAATGGCAGTTTTTGAGAGAACTAAGCGTCCGATTTAAATGATTCAAAGAACTTTCTGCTTGTCTTAACAAAATAATTGATTCTGGAAAAAAAATAGTATAATTTTTTTTTTTTTAGTTTTTCTTGTATATCGAAAATAATTCAGATTTTATTTTTATTCTGACTAAAGTTCTAATATGACTTAAACAAATAATTTTAAATTTGCAATTCAGTTTATATACTTCTTATAAATATTAGACAATGTTACAATATTTATAATAATCTATTTGAAAACATTCAGTATTCCTCGAACATTTCGTTACGGTACGGGAAGTTCCAGCAATTTGCCTTAAGGCACGATGCCACCCACCCCACTAGTTAATTTATTTTTATAGAGAGTCTATAACAGCTAGACCTGCCTCCCCAAAAATTTAATCAGTTGTTTATCTTGTCAATAAAAGTATAATGTTTTTTGAATTATTAAATGCGGACATTCCGTTCTCTTAAATACTGAGTTACCGTTTTTGCCACTTTTGCCCCGTATCTTTAGAACGGCTAAACCTGCCTTCGCTAAAAACTGATCAGCTCATCTCCTTAGTTAGCTGGAACGGCTAAACCTGCTTTCGCCAAAAACTTATCAGCTCATCTCCTTATCAATACGAACCGAATGTTTTTTGAATTATTCAAATCGGTTGATCGGTGTTCCCGAAATCGTCGACAAAAATTTGTATCTGTACACACACATACACCCTACGGGAAGTTAAAAAAAGATTTTTAATTAATCAATTATTAATTATTAATTAATAATGTTTATATATGTTTTGTGATTGAGTTCACGTTAAAAGTCCGTGTTAAAATATAGATTATGAAATGTATAGTGTTTTCTAGACAAAAAATATCAAAATTCAGTCATTGTTTACAATTAGTTTATATATGTTGAATGGTTAAACATTTCAAGGAATGTGTGTTATTGAAAGCGAAAAATGTTTAAATAAAGTTTTAGATAGTTTTAGGTTTCAGAGTTAATGTGAACAAATAACGAGATTCGTTTGGAATGGGATTATATATGACGGGAAAGCCACGAAAGTCTATTTTCACTTGATATATGAGAGATCTATAATCTCAAGTGAAAATCACTATTGATGCTTATTAAGCTGACTAGCGGTTGCTAATCTACCTTTTTACTACGGACACATGATCAGCTTCGAAAACCTTTTGGTGATTAAAATTATGAACTCTAATCTACATTACGTACAATTATTATTATATGGTTTATTTCGTCTATTATCGTTCTTAACGTATGGTGACCCAAAATCGTAATATTTTTCCTACAATTTTTTTAAGGATTTCAATGCGCCATATACCCTTATAAGCCATATGGTGATAGAAAAATAGTTTAGCTGTGAGTGCATGTGATGTATTATTAACTTCCCGTAGGGTAAGTTATTGTAATGGGCCGAAAATCGAAATTGAAAATTTTTACATTTCTCGACGTTTTGAAGGTTTCTGAATATTTTGGCATACCTCAGAAAAAAATGGATGTGTGTGTGTATGTATGTATGGATACAAATTTCCAGTCACGTTTTCGGGCGCACGGATCAACCGATTTGAATGGTTTAAAAAGCATTCGATTCCTATTGATAGGGAGATAAACTGATTAGTTTTTGGCAAAGGCAGGTCCAGCAGTTACTGAGATGAAGAGCAAAAAGTGCAGAAAATAGAAATCAAGTTTTTGACAGAACGGAGTATCCGATTTGAATGATCTAAAAAACATTCAATTAGTAATGATTGGGAAAAGTGTTTATTAATTTTTGGCAAAGGCAGGCCCAGCCATTTCGAAGATACGGAGCTATATGTGTGAATAATGGCAGTTTTTGAGAGAACTAAGTGTCCGATTTAAATGATTCAAATAACTTTCTGCTTGTCTTAACAAAATAATTGATTTTGGAAACAAAATTTGTTTCAACTTTTTTTTTTCAAACAAAAAAATTTTTTTGTATATCGAGAACTGGTATACATAATACATATACTTATATTGCATTGCTGGAAACGCTATATTTGTCAAAAAAAATTATATAGTTTTAACTATAATATATATAATTCCAGGTCATAGATTTATGGGGCACTTCACGAATTGATGAGCGCATTAACTCACAAATACAAACAAGACTAATTTGAATGGCGTGCTGAAGCATCAAAATTAATTTATGGTTTACGAATGATTATAATTAATAGCTGCTAAATTATCGTGATAATAATGAATAGTAAAATTTAACGATGATTATTATTTTATTGTAATTCAGTAATTTTAATTTAATATTATGATGTTGTTAAGGAATTGGCAATTTCTTGATAATTTTATTATTTGAAAATTTGAGTAATAGTAATTTTATTTCTAGATCTTACTCGCAATTTAACATTGAAAATATTAATTATTAGAGAGAATGTGGTCAAGTTCGAGGTGCTGTCATTAATGGAGAGATTTGATACTACGGCGAGAGCAGCAAAGACTTTGAGGCGGCAGTACTCTCAAACTATCAATTTTACAAAAAAACGGTTTTCTAAGGAATTGTAGGAAATTTTATCTAGTTTAACTCGTACATAGATACTTTTATCGCAGAATCAGCCAACAAGGAGATATTTTAAAAAAGCTGTTGTTTGACGCCATTTTTCCAATATGGCGGCAACTTGCCGCTCAAATTTGAGGTGGCAAAGTTGATTTTCGTAAAGAGCACCTCGAAATCTATGAGATTACCAATTTTCAGAATTCCCGGAGTACTGTACCGGCAACAGCCTTTTTTTGCACCAAATGACTGGACTATAAAAATAAAAACCAAGAAATGGCATGATTTTTGTTAATACATTTGGCTTACATTTAGTTCCAATGATTCCATCTAGCACTGAACTGAATTTGATTAAAATACACTAGCAAAATTATGTAATTTTTATTTCTCATTTTCATTCTCATAGAAATACTTCATAGAAAAACTAAAGTTATTTTTCAGAAAAAAAATTCTGATTTTTTTCATTAAAAAAACTTATACCTGTTTTCAGTTGTTCTGTTGAAAGTATCTAGCAATTCATTCTATAATTATACTAGAACGTCAGATCACCGACAGTATTACTATAGCCTATGATGTATCACTAGCGGTAACTACAGGGTGGTTTATGGAGTAATAATGTATCAACAGATTCTTGATTAGTTAATTTATTCAACGCCATGTCGTGATCAGGAAAGCTCTAGGTAAGATTCAAGCAACTGCACATATAAACTTGCAAACTAGTTACAATACACAAAATTGTTCCAAAATTTGAGCGCCTTAAAATGATTTGCAGAGTATGATACGTGTAGTATTATACAATAAGCTTTCTGAAAATTGTATAAATTATTCAACAAACAACAACAACGGAACTTCCCGTTGAATACTGAATGTTTTCAAATAGATTATTATAAATATTATATCATTGTCTAATATAAAATAATAAAATAAAATCTGAAATATTTTCGATATACAAAAAAAAAAAAAAAAAATGAAACAAAATTTTTTTTTCCAAAATAAATTATTTTGTTAAGACAAGCAAAAAGTTCTTTGAATCATTTAAATCGGACGCTTAGTTCTCTCAAAAACTGCCATTTTTTACATATTTAGCTCCGTATCTTCGAAATGGCTGGGCCTGCCTTTTCCAAAAACTAATAAACACTTCTCCCAATCATTACTAATTGAATGTTTTTTAGATCATTCAAATCGGATACTCCGTTCTCTCAAAAATTCGATTTCTATTTTCTGCACTCTTTGCTCTGTATCTCCGAAACGGCTGGACCTGCCTTTGCCAAAAACTAATCAGCTCTTTTCCTTATCAATAGGAATCGAATGTTTTTTGAACCATTTGAATCGGTTGATCCGTGCGCCCTAAAACGTGACTGGAAATTTGTATCCACACATACATACACACACGCACACACACACACACACATCCATTTTTTCTGAGGTATGCCAAAACGTTCAGAAACCTTCAAAGCGTCGAGAAATGTAAAAATTTTCAATTCCGATTTTCGGCCCATTACAATAACTTACCCTACGGGAAGTTAAAAAGTAAAATAATAGTAAAATTAAAATATTAAATAATTGCATTGATTTTGATAAAGCAAATATTACACAGGCCAACAGAGAAAATGGTGCAAACGATTTTAATGCTGTTTTTAAGTATATTTGGGGCGCTGATTTCAAAAATGACATTGTTTTTTTTCTATGAGCTTTAGTTTTCAAGATATGATATACAGTAGAACCTCGATTATCCGGACTAATTGTTGTCGATGGGCATCCGGATAATCAAAAATCGGTCTTCATCATTTTCCGATTTTCACTCCCCTCTTCACGTGTACGAAAAGACAAAATTGAATCGGCATTCTTTTTGATATCGCTTATAGTGGATGTACCTACACCATACCTATCAGCTAATTTACGGCCGGTTTCGCCTTTTTTAATGATTCTATAATATTTATTTTATTTTTAAGGGATAACACCACCCTTTAAAAATGTATATATGCACGTCAGAACACACTAGTAAAATTGCAAACAAACTACATAAAGCGATAATGCAGCGCGGGGCAGCGAAACAGCGGCGCGGTCGAAATATACAAGTTCAGACGCGATTATGTCCGGATAATCGCGAATCCGTATAACCGAGGTCCGGATAATCGAGGTTCTACTGTATATGATATATAAGGAATGAAAGTATAAAATAGCAATACAATTCAGAATGTTATTTTAATGAGATATGGCTACTCGTACACACAAACTTACAAGACCCATTCGGCCTTTTCCGTGACGACCTACAATGGACCTGGTTTCGGCAACTTCTTTCCAAGTTCAAAACTAGAGCTGATACGCATAAATGGTTTGCAGATTTGATATCAGCGCAAAAAATACTATAACAATCAGCTCTAACATTTGATGCACCAAACAAAAAAAAATTGTAGGCCTGTGTTATAGACCAGTTTGGGATATTTAAGTTAAGGCGATAATGAAATATAGCTAGTGAGTCAAATATATACATACATATATATATATATATATATATATGTATATATAGATATATATAAATTAACATATAACATCGTCTTGAAGTCATTTCATTTCTCACATTTTATAATCTTCAATTAGGATTTACAAATTCTACTTTCAACATAAAGTTATTCTGGGATAGCTCAGCAGCGTCTTCACTTGAAAACTTTCATTCAACGTATATTTATACATTGAGAGTTAATTAATTGAAGCCGCAAAGTTATGATAGAAGAACTTCAACCTCCGCACAGTATATTTGCGGTTCAGTTGTTTGCAAGAATTTATAGAAATGACAGATCCGACGTTTTGCTTCTTAGTAAATTGTTAAGAAATTTCCAGTTTTCAATAGAGATGATGCTGCAATTATGAAGTTATAAAACAATTGAAATGAATTTTTATAACGCATTCTTATATTTTATTGTAAAAAAACTTTATAAAGATATATATTCTTACAAATATTTCTGAAAATATCATGTACTTTCAATATTGGTACGGATATCTGTATCAGGTAAAAATTAGTTCAAATAACTTAAATTTTCAATCAAGATTTTATATAATGAAAATCGTTTGTACAAAGTGATTTCATTAACTAACATATCACAATTCTTGTGAGATTGTAAATAGCTTAATAGTTAATAAAAAGTATTTACACTTGCTATTTTTTTGTATGTATAAATGTATGTCTTGAAAAGGGCAGACAAAAAGATTGGTTATGCATCTAAATTGATACTTTCTTCTAAAATTGTTCAGTAAAACTCGAGTGTTCCATGCAAAAGGGTTAGATTAAATATTTGGTATAGTAAATATCAAGTATTTTTGGAATGTTTTCTACAAGTTATATATATATATATATAGATTCGCAACTTGAAAATATGAAAATATTATTACTAGGATAGGGCGAAACCTAAAGACCCGATATAACCTAAAGGCAGGGTAAAAAGATATACCATCAATAACTCAAAAACAAGCTAGGTATAGAATGTGTTAATAATACTATTTCAGATTAAAAGACTAAAGATATGTAATCAGTCGCTATCAACTAAACAATTCTTGTTTTGTAGTTTTTTTGGTTTTGAGCGCTTGCATTTAGTTTATGATACCTGCATATAATTATTAGATACACGTTATTTAAATATTTTATAAGGGGACAGAAGACCAATTTTAGAAGAATAGTAAAAAACATAGTTCGATAGTTGATGGGGTCCAAAGGAAAAAAGATGTAGTATGTTTGTATGAATATTAAAGCGGGTCGATTTGTATGGGTCAAAATGAGATACTTTGCTGAAGAACCCATACATCTATAATGAATTTTGATGACCCGTGTATAAAGTAAACGTAAAAATATCTACAAATATTTTCTATTTTGAAGATTTACACTACGTGGGTAAAACTTATCCTACCCCCTATGTAAAAAATCCAAAATGATAAAAGAAGTGAAAATCACATCCAAATATTTTGATTGAATTAACCATATTGTAACAACAATTGAAGGTCCAAGTCGTGGGTTGAAAAGATCATTAAGAAATGTAACATCCTCTGAGGAGGTTGGTCGGGTCCGGGCGCGAGCCCTTAGACCCGCTTAGTGTATAGTGGTGTGTGTATTGTGCCAGGAGAGAAAAACCTGTTCCAGCAAAGGTCAGATACATTATTGTTTATAAGTCCCTCTGTTCCAATACTCCGTTTATGTTAATCCGGTTAATCGGTTTATAGATTGTGAATTAGAGTTTAGGCAGAGGACATGACTGTACGCAAGTTTGGTTTAATACCAAAGTAATATTAAATAAGTCAAAAGTACATTTTGTTTCATTCGCGTAGTTAGTTGGTTTAGTTTCCATAGGTAATTACAGGGTGTTTATAGAAGTCGAGTTAAGGAGTTGGAGTAACCCTTTCGTAATGGGGTTGCAACGCTAAGATGTAATATGTGGAAGTCGTTGCAATCCCGAGAAGAGGGCTATCAACCCCTATCCGTCACAACATTAGTAAATACATTCAATAAAAACATAAATTATCAAACCTTCTAGGTATGGGCGCAGGCAATCCAAGTCCTGTGCCTCCTTCACTATCTCGTCCACCCGGCAAACCGCCAGCCGTCTGTCCTCCTGCACCTCCAGCGCTTTTAAGTTCCTCATCGTAACTGTGCTGCTTCGTTATTCGCACTGATTGTCTACGAGAAGCGGGAGTTCGTTGGATTGACGGTATATTAGCCATAAACTCCTCGCCGCGTCTAGGCGGTGAATTCGAACGACTACATGCCCCACTTCGCATTCCGGACCTGTTGCGCCAGTCGAGGTCGCCGCCTGGTGACTTGGCTCCTGATCCCTTGAGCTATTTGTAAAAGAGAGAAAAATGATCCATTGTAGATGTAAGTACTAGTTTATGTCAAAATTTGCGTCTAGATTGCAAGTATAACATTTTATAGTGCCATAAAAGATATTGATTTTATTCTACTTCTGCTTTATTGCGTCGTTTTGTGTGTGAACTGTTTCATTGCTACAACTTTTGCTTTTAAATCTATAAAGAATTTGATAATAAATTTTTTTCATTACATTTATTTTCTATTTTAATATTGAATTTAACATTTACTTTTATTGTGAAAAATATAAATTTATGCAAATTGAATATGAGAAATGACAAAAGATTCTTGCCATAAGATGCTGAATGTATAGCATGCGACAAGAGTTATTTGATATTCATGTTTCTCAGAAAACTGTAGGTGTAATATTAGCATCTACAAAATGGATAGTATAAGTATAAAGAATGTACATTCAAATATATAAGTAATTTGAAAATATAAAAATAGCCCGGAAAAATGAAATGAAAATATAAAAACTACGATTTTAATTTTGAAGATATTGATTCCACTAATTTTGAAGATACCATTTTGTGACCCGGGTTTTTCTAAAACCAATAAATATTAGATACAACTAGTATGCTCATATGAAAAAGGCGGGTTAAATTACCCTTTCACATTCATAATTTTGAATTTTTATTTACAATTTTACAAAAATTAACAAAAAACCTGAAAATTAACGTCTTGACGGCCTGAAATAGGTGCTAATTATTATTAAATAATTATGAAGAAACTTGAACGAAATTTTATAATTACTTTGAAAGTTGATAATACATATAAATCCAAAATATAAGATAAAATGTTACCTATAGTCAAATAATAAAGTTTTTACACAGTAATTCTGATTTGAAAAGTTACTATAATACTTTGAAAGAGACGGATTTTTATTGCATTCTTAATAGTATTTATTATTTTGAAATACTTGAATCTGTTCTCCCCTTGGCTGTCTCATTTTACCTATATGAGGTAAGAGCCAGGTGACAAACTACAAAAAAAAACAGCAAATAAAATGCAATTCTACAATGATGATTTAGCAGAGAGTTTTACTGAACATAGTCAGATACTTGTTTGTTTGTGTTATTTGTTGTGACATAATTGGTTTGGTTTTTAGATTTTACAATATAATTGCTCAAATATAAATTGCCCCGCTCAACCCTCTTTATTTTTTTTGAGAATCATAAAAACAATTTTTTATTATTTATTTTAAAATTTATCATTTAATTTAAAATTACTGTAAGGAATCACTCATGTACTTGAAAGAAACTCTGTATAGAGAGTTTATGCAAGATCTTATACTTTCATTACTTCAAAATTAAATTTATATATTTTAAAATGAAGTTTGACAGTTTTATAAA